CGCGTTTCCGAAGCCCACCGTCACAGCCACCGCGTCGGTCCGCGTTTCCGAAGCCCACCGTCACAGCCACCGCGTCGGTCCGCGTTTCCGAAGCCATTTCTTCTTCACTGACCCTCCACTTTACCCAGCATGTTATCCTTCTCCAGGGACTGGTCCCTTCTGACACGACCAAAGCACAAGAGGCGACGTCTGGCCATTCTTGCATCTAAGAAGCATTCCAGCTACACTTCCTCTAAGACAGATTTGTTCATTCTTCTGGCAGTCCATGGTGTATTTAATATTCTTCACCAACACCACAATTCAAATGCATTATTTTTTCTGCTGATCACTAATCCTAGGCATTCATGACCCGAGACGGACTGCTATTGGCCATTTTGAAGAACCACAGCCAGAATGCTCATGAGAAGTGAGGATGGATGGCTAGACTTCACCTCATATCCTTTGGACATGCCACCAGGAGGGACCAGTCCCTGGAGAAGGACATGATGCTTGGTGAAGCAGGAGGTCAATGAAAAAGAGGAAGACCCTGTGGTAGTTAAAGCTGTGTGTCAACTTGGCTGGGCCGTGATTTTGAGAGCCTTGGCAGTTGGATGTAGCATCATTACCTCTGTGGTGGAATCTACTGTGAGTGGTTAATCAATTGATGGGGAGTTGCCTTTGAGGAGTGGCCTGCTTCCAGTCTACACAGCTTTGGGAAAGGTCTCCAGCTCATTTTTCTCATTTTGGGATCCTACATTTGGTGCAACACCTCCAGTTCCTGAGCCTGAGCCAGTGGCCTGCTATATTGCCTCCCAGTATCTTGGATTCACCAGCCTCGGCAGGCAGCAGCTGCGCGAGTCATGAGAAGCCTCCTACTTGCTCCTTGGGAACAAAAGGCAGAACTGAAGCCCAAAGTTGAGGGGCCTCCACCCATCTCTTGGAGCCAACGCTCTGAATTCAGACTACCTAGCCTCATCTTTCCTTAGAGCTGGCACTCTAGCCTCCCTCTTAAACTGTAACAGGATAAGCTTCTCTTTGTCAAAGCCATCCACTTACGGTATTTCTGTCACCGCAGTACTGGAGAACGGCTACAACCCTCAGGGAGACAGACGGATATGGTGGCTGCAACAACGGGCTCAAACAGCAAGGATCGTGAGGATGACTCAGGACAAGGCAGTGTCCCAGTCGACTGTACGTGGGTCGCTGGGTTGGAACTGACTCATTGGCACCTAACGCCACAACAACATGAGAACCCTTAACCCCCAAAGTGTGAAGCTTCTGTCCCTCGACTGGAAAACTTCAGATAAATGAGCATCAGGCCTGGCATGAGTAACTTGACATGTACTCCAAATCCACTGGAAGAACAGAGCTGCTTTCCTGCAAGCACTGCACATGTGATTCTCACCCCAGCCCTGCCAGTCCATCTTGACATTCACACACAGATGAGGACCTGGCTTCAGAAACCAGTAACTAGGAAAATGAAAAGTGACCATGCCCACAAGTGAACAGCATCTGGAACCAGATGCAATCAGTGAACATTGGTCCCCAGGGGGGATGAAATGTGCATTCACGAATGGGATTTTCTACGTCCTACAAGAAAGTAGGTTATAGACTCATAAACACAGCCTGTGCGTTAACAGACAAAGACCAGAGGTTGACGGCAATCCCTGGAATCTGGGTGATTTTCACCATTGTGGTACTCCTTTTTCAAAAGGTGAACATACACTACCTTTCTGTACTTTTGAGACAAAGGGAAGGAAAGGCTCTGTGGGCTCACCTTCGGAGTTCAAGGTGATCAGAGTGACGTTGTGGCCGATGCTCTGACTGCCTGACTGCCCGCAGTTGGACACAGAGTCGCTGGCCTCGGACCCACTCTCCCCATCTTCGTTGTGGCTGTCCTCTTGGCCAGGCACCTTCACCACAATGGTATTCTGCCGCCGCCCGGGCACTGCACTGGAAGGGAGACAAGGCCAGCCCCACATGGTGAAAGCAGTCAGGCACAGGCACCAGCACACACCCAACACTTCCCCCACCCCTCATCAGCACGGTCCACCCAGGCCAGGACCACTGAGCACACGGCCTTCCCACACAGACCACAGGGGTCAACTCACATAAGCCCAACGCCTCTCCCCACCCCCAGCACAGTCCGCCCCCGCAAGGACCGCTGGGCTACACAGCCTCCCTATATGCACGCTCTCAAGATTGACAGCAACTTCACAGCAGAAAAGAGTCTGGGTTTGGAAGAAACAAACAAAACAAAAAAAAAAACCCTCCAGAATTTTACAAAAATGTCCATTTCACAAAACAAGGACAATGGTATCTCACTGTGACTCAGTCCTCAGACGCACCTTCTGATCTCAAAGTGTTCAACACTCAGCAGCAGACATTCTGGAAATGACAGCCTCCTCCTGACCCTCTTGCTGACCAGAAACCCCAAGGAGGATCAGGCCCATCAGAAGCCCAGGAGATGGTCCCACCACATGGAGTCCCTGCACCAGCATAAACAAGGCCAGCATAACAGGAGCACAGCCACCTCCAGATAGCTCCCTAAGAGAGGAGGCTGCCAGGTGACGACTCACTGGTCAGCATTCCTGTCTACACACAGAACTTCCCTGTCTGCACAGTCACAGGGTCACAATGACAGCCACACTGGCGGGGCTTCCACAGACTTCTTCGTCCACACTGCACCTGTCCCTGGATACCAAGGGTCGGGGTGGCTGCCCTCACCCAAATCCCTGACCTGTGCTCCTCTTGGCCAGTAGGCCACTTCCACAGCTGAGAACCAGACACACTAGCAGTGCCACCATCCTGCCTCCCTCACCACAACTCCCAGCAGAGGAAGCTAAGACCCTCAAGAAAACAGGACAAAGCAGGAGGAGAAAAGGCACACTGGGGCTCTGTGGGGACATAGGCATGGGCGCCCAAGTCTCCTTGAGTGTCAGGAGGTAAGAAGGAGGCCCTGCCTTGCCTCCACACAAGGTGGAGTCTGCTCACTCGCCCTGTCCACCAAACATGCCTTCCAAACGTCTTAGGAGCAAAGGTACAAGAAAAGTGACAACATCCAAACGCTTGTGCTGTCCTCAGCAAAGGCAAGGAGGGTGTCTGGGTAGCAGACAGGCTGGGAGACAGAGATAGACAGATTTACGTGGTCATAGGGCAGCCTGAGAGGAGAGAGGCTCCACCTCCTGCTGTGAAAATGCAAAGTGACACAGTGAGCGCCAGACCACGCGCAGAATGTCACGTCTTCCCTCCTGACTCACGCGCGGTCCACCTAACAACCAGGACATGACCCCGGGAAGCAGCAAGGCCAGCCCAGGCCAGGTGTCCATCCCCATTGTGCGCCCATGGCTCCCAGGGAGCAGTGGCGAGCTTGGCCCCAGCCTGGCCCTCGTGGACGCGTCACGGTGGCAGTGGAGGTGGGTTTGCTGCTGTGGCTACTGACTTGCTAATGACATTTTCCAGGGAAGTCGGTGCCCTGTCGCTCGGGGGGTCGTCCATCTTGGCTACAACGGCGCTCTGCCGGTCACTGTTGAGTATGACTGTGGTCTGGGGGACGACGCTACGGAACAAAGAATCACAAAGAGAAAGAGACCTTAACAAGGCCACATTCACTGGGAGGGGCCCCAGAGACCTCGGCAGGCAACCCCAGGGGTTGCGCCTCTACATGGTGCCCCCCAGGGGCCACACCACCTCATGGCTGGAGGGTGGTCCTCCCAGGGGGTACACTGCCGCATGGCTGTAGGGTGGTCCTCCCAGGGGGTGCACCGCCGCATGGCTGTAGGGTGGTCCTCCCAGGGGGTGCACCACCGCATGGCTGAAGGGTGGTCCTCCCAGGGCCCGCACCGCTGCATGGCTAGAGGATGTCCCCCAGGGACTGCACCATCGAATGGCTGGAGGGTGGTCCTCCCAGGGGCCACACCACTGAATGGCTGGAGGGTGGTCCTCCCACACCCCCAGTAGCCACACTACTGGAAGGGTGTCCCCCCAACAGTGGCCCACACTGCTGGAGGGTGGCCCAGCCCTGGGTGAGACCACACTGGAGACGGTTCTATGAGAGAGGTCAGCTTCCCTGGTGGCTGCATGACTAGGGATTTGAACACACTGTGGTGCAGATGCAGAGGCTACCAGTGTTACCATGCAGGGAAGCTTTCTCAGGCCATACGTCTGAGTGACACTCTTCCTTCCCCCCTCATGTCTGCAGACCACGCTCAGACTCTCATAAGCGTTATTTGTCACTGTGCTTCCAGCATGGCAGCGCTCTAGAAAGACAGGGCAAACAGCAGGAGGGAGTGCCGTGGGAGAACACAACACTGACTGCCTCCAAGTCCTCGGGAAACACACCAAGTGACCAGGGGGCTCAGCCTTTGCTTAGAAGAGCAGTCACACCCGATAGGGTAGTCCATACCGGAGTCTCACCATCCCCTGGCAGTCACCTGGAGGGAGCAGTATGTGTCCCCAGCCCAGCAGCTGACTCAGCTCAATCCCAAGGCAGGTTGCCATGTGTGGTGGCCACTTGTGTCATGTTTCTACCCTTAGTACCTTCACCTCTGTCGATGCTGGGGCGGGAAAGAACCAGCCCCTTGAGATGCAAAGCCAAGGCAACTGAGAAGATAGTGTCACTCTTGATTTCACCCTAAAAATTAACTTGGGGTGCTGGAGGGTGGATTTCTCTGGAGGGATTGATTTTGGGGGTTTGCTCTGCAAGGGCTGCTCAGAAATGAGATGATCTCATGGACCCAGGAGTGTATGTGGGCTCTCGTCCAGCGTCACGCCCATGACTGGCAACCACCCACACTCCAGAGCAGCACAACCAGTACCGCTCCAAACCCCAGGCAGGTTTCAGGGCCACGGGGCCTTTTCCTAGAGTAAAAGAGCATGAGCCATACTTCAGGCCAAGGCTGATTTCTACCATCCACTTGTTCCCACCTGAGCAACCCTCCTCCAATTCTCACGACCCACCCACAGGCCAGGTATCAAAGGCAACCCAGGAGACTTCTGACTTGGTTACTGGGGTTAGAGGACATGGTAACCTCTCACAGACACCGAACACAAGACTAAGGTAGTTTGTGTGCATGTGGTATGTCCCCATTCTATTCCATGGAGCTTTGGTGGCGCAGTGCCTAAGGCATCTGACTGCTAACCAGAAAGTTGGTGGTTCAAACCCACCAGCTGCTCCATGGAAGGAAGATGGGGCAGTCGACTTCTGTAAAGATTTACCACCTCAGGAACCCAGTGGGGGTCGCCATGAGTCAGAATCAACTGGATGACTGTGGGTTTGGTTTTTTTATGGTTTTGTTCCATGGAATATAAGATTTCAAAGAGTAGCTCGAGAAGACAAAGCCAATTACTATAATGAAATGTGCAAAGACCTGGAGTCTGAAAACCAAAAGGGAAGAACACGCTCAGCATTTCTCAAGCTGAAAGAATTGAGGAAAAAATTTAAGCCTCGAGTTGCAATAGTGAGAGATTCTATGGGCAAAATATTGAATGATGCAGGGAACATCAAGAGAAGATGGAAGGAATACACAGAGTCACTGTACCAAAAAGAACTGGTCGATCTTCATCCATTTCAGGAGGTGGCATATGATCTAGAACCAATGATACTGAAGGAGGATGTCAAAGCTGCAATGAAGGAATTGGCGAAGAACAAGGCTCCAGGAATTGATGGAATACCCATTGAGATATTTCAATAAATGGATGCCACACTGGAGGCACTCACTCGGTTATGCCAAGAGATTTGGAAGACAGCTAGCTACCTGGCCAACTGACTGGAAAAGATCCATACCTGTACCCATTCCAAAGAAAGGTGATCCCACAGAATGTGGAAATTATCGAACAATATTATTATTTCCTGAAAATGATTCCCCAAAGAGAACATGTCTGGTCAAGGTGTGCCCAACTCCAAAGCCCTTCCTTCCCCACCTGCTCATGCTGGCACCACGGCGTCCTGGCCAGGATGTGAAGAAGCCTGGGAGCAAAGCTGGGGTCAGTGTGGGTACTGGGGGGCATGGGAACCTGAGTGCCTTGCTGCTGACCCAAATCTCCACTTGAAGTGGGTTGCTGTATGATTCTTCACTTGCAACAAGACTCAAGTGGGGCCGAGCTGGGTTTGAAGGCAAATCACTAGCATTCGGGCCACGCGACTCACAGCACTGAAGAACATGGCTGCGCTAAAACTCCTGCTCTCCCCAGACATCTGCGTGCACGTCACGTCGCTCAGGACAGGGGACTATAACAAGCAGAACCAGGAGAGCAGAGGCCAAACCCTGACCATCGAGGCCAATGTCACCATCGTCCATGGGCTCAGGACCGGAAAGGGGAGGCCACACACCTTGTCAGGAGGGGCCCTCACAGTGCACGCTACCATCTGTTATTAACGACAACGAGTCTTGGTGCACTTTTGAGACTGTGGACTACCAGGACATGGCTTTTTCCACTTCACCTCATAAACACACTTCTGTCCCACAACACAACAGCCTGGTTAACAGGACAGACTTCTGTGAGGGCAGTGACATGGAGACAAAAGCAGAAAATTAAAAAGGACGATACAAAACATCACTGTCAGTGGTCTGCTCGTGGGGTGCTTGAAATGGAGGGTGGGATTTAAGCTCTACTGGAAATATATGAAAGATAATGAAACGGTCACATTTTTAAATGTCCCACATCAGGAGAGGAACAAGTGGGTCGGGAACGTGGACTCTTTCTTCTCCTGCCAACAAGGCAGCAGTGAGCCAGGGCAGCCTGAGACAAGGCTCAGCTCCCCAACGGAAGGTTACATGCTGTTAAGGGCACCTGACTCCTTACGACCCGTGGGGATGGGCAACCCTGGTTCCCACACCTCAACCTCACAGAAGACACCCAGCAGGTCCTGGCATCTGCCACCATTCCAGAACTCAGATGCTCAGAGGAAGACCTACTTTGTACCAAGAACCCAAGAAAGCTACAAAACCCAAAATAGCTTTTCCACTAATACCCTTCAATGTTCATAAAAGAAGGGGAAAAAAGAAAAAAGCTACTATGAAAAAAAAAAAAGAATCGGCCACCACCAGCTTTCAGGAGGCATGGTGTGGACCAGCAACCAGGTGGAAGGAACGGAGATCTACAGCCCACCCACACGCCCGGCCCAGGCGCCTCCCAGAACAGGCAGGAAAGCAGAAGCCCTTCTTTGAAGCCGGGCAGGACGGAGGCCTGCGGCTCGCTACGGTTGCATCAAAGCCAGGCAACAGCCCCCTCCCACTGTGAACTTTGAAGAAGGAAGGTCTCGGAAACAGGAAGCTGAGGCTTCTAGAAACTAGAGGGATGAGTGGGCTTCTAGTTAATGCTCTGCTGAGGGATGGAAACCAACCAACCCACCAGGCTCAGGTTGCCACCCAGAGACCACAGCACCTGGCTCCACGAGACGGCCTCTGCCCAGGAAGGCACTGCCGCCCGGCTTGAACACAGCCGAGCTGGCCCGGGGCTGTCCCCAGCCAAGACAACTGTCCAGATGGGTCACCTCGTCCCTCGTCCCTCCTGTGCTCGCTCCCCCAGTCCCCGGAGCCTGGCTCCATCCATCTACCAGGGGGATCCTCCCTGGGTCCTGGATCTGTCTGTCGGCATGAAGGGCAGTGAAGCTCTGAGTACCAGTGAGGTGCTTGGTTAGCTCTGTGTGCTCCATCCACCCACCTCCGCGTGCCGACCGGTCCGCCCGAGCAGACCCTCTCCAAACACTGGATCTATCTATCAAGTGGATCTCTCTACATGTGCTGGAACATGGTGCCCTGCTGAGATGGTCACCCTGAAAACTGTCCCACAGCGATTCTGATGCTGGCACCCAAATGACACTCAGATCACATAACTGAGGCCCACGTTCACACAGAACACTTCCACTGCCAGTATCGTCTCAGAAACACCTTTAAAGCTCCAACCTCTTGCTGTTGGCTGCTGTGTGTGCGTGGGGGTGCAGGAAGATGCCCTGACCATGGTCACCTGCACCCGTCAGGGAGTGGACTCACAGTGTGGGTGCCAGTCGCTCCCGTCACATGTGCCTCAGTGAGGTAGGGTCTTTATAATAAGATCCGTGAGAGAACCATGAGGCTAAAGGACCCCTAGGCAGGTCCCTGTCACCTCCTCCTGTTTTCCTTTTCAAAGATGGGGACACTGGACAAAGACTCCAAACACCTACGCAGCCCGGCCAGTCACCAGCCACATCCTGAGCCCAGAGACCCGGTGACACCCAGAGGCACTACTCCTCTCCACACATCATGGACCCTCCGGATTACAGATGAGACCCCAAAAATATGGCCTTCACAGGACCTAAGAGCTGTCATCACACAGCTCACTCCCCTGGAGTCCCCCATCAGCTCTACAAAGGTAATAAGCTCACAGATCCAGAAATACAGACTCGGAACAACCAGATTCTCACCAAACACAAGCAAAGAAGGGACAAGTGGCCAAGGAGGCCCCTCTTCAGAGGAGGGAGCTTCGGTCAGCAGGAAGCACATCGTCCATTCCCGCCTTGTTGCTTAGAGGGTAGGAGGCCTGCTGGGACTGAGTGAGCACGGACCAGGGAGCGAATGTCCTTCAGTGTGGCGCAACCACAGCATGTATGTCTTCCCAGCTCCCACAGTCCTCACTCGTTCCTGCTCCTCAGTCTCTGCGCCATGCCCTGACTCCAGCTTACAGCACATACACAACAGCTCTGTCCGGCTTTCATGCCAGCCAAACTTCCTGGGTTCCAACGGCCGTGAGTGTAGGCTAGACGCTACCCTTTCACTATCTGAAGCTTCGCAGAGCTCACCAGGGCGGCCCATCCTCCTGGACTGGAAGCAGCCACAGCATCGAGTGGCCACAGGAGAGCCCTGGACCCGATGCCCGCGGCCTTCATTCATCACGCCAAGAGAGGGTGGGACAGGGCTTATTCATCCCTCCCGTCTTCCGAGACGGCTACGGACATACGAGATGTGGGTATCTTGTCATCACTACTGTCTTTCCGTTCATGCTACAGCTAAAGCACTACATTAATTCATAAACTATATTTTCTAAATGCTGGCTTTTAGGGTTAGATGTTGGGTATAGTGGGGTGGATGCCTCTGCCCAAGAGCCTAGGACACAGCCAGGCACAGAGATCATGCTCAACAAATGTCCACTGGCAAAAATCAGCTGGTGATCTGTGACAACAGATAAACATGGGTGAGGCCCCATGAAGGGGACCTTGGGAACCACCACCTTCCCTCCAGGAGCAGACACCACCTACCACCACCAGGTGGTCTCAGGCAAGAGGCCAGGCAATGTTCTGGACAAGCCAGGCACGGCTGGGAGTGAGAGAAGGGGCCACTGACCACCAGCAAGCACAGCCCAGGCTGCCCCAGGCAGACCAGACCAATGGGCACTTGGAACTGCAGGTGGTAAGGGTACCCCAAAGCCAAGCAGTGAGCTCCTGTCCCTGCCCATGCCCTACAACTCGCAGAGCACTAAGCTCTCAGCCTCCAGAGACACAGCACGCCGCCCCAGCAGCAGGGAGCTCAGAGACGTGGCAGGAGGATGGGGCGGTCACACCAAGCTGCTGCAGCCCCTCGTCCATGCCCACCGTGGCCCACCCCATGCCCACTCCGCTCCTCAAGGGCAGACAGCTGCGGCCTCCCTCATCTGCGTCCACTGTGCCCCACGCCCACTGCTCGCAGGCAGGAGGCTGCAGCCATCATCTGCACTCATGGTGCCCCAGCCCACAGCCCACTCCGCTCCTCACGGGCAGGCGGTTCAGTAGAACCCCAACAGAAAGGCCTCTGAAAATCGCTCCACATTCATCAGGTACAAGATAAACTCTGCCTGAGGCCACACTTCGGCCCTGCTCCCTGGTGTGAGCAGAAGAGAAGATGGGAACAGGAGGGCTGACTCTGCACCAGAGCCTCGGCCGAGCTGGCCTACGAAACTGCAGGCTGTGGTGTGTGCACAGCTCACAGAGCATCAGCAGGGCAGCGCCTTCTGGGAGGCCTCCCGACCCGAGCTGAACTGCTCAGACAGCAACGAGCCGAGAACACCACACCTCCCTCCTCCTTGCTCCAAGATTCGACTGCAAATCCCAACAGTAACCACCGAAATAAGCACAATGAGAGCCACAGACCGGAGTGAAACTGAGGTGGAGTGACGCGAGATGTATGAGAGCTTCCTGAGACGAGAGGGAACTGATAGTGGCAGGAGAGTTATCAAAACTACTACGAAGACAGAAGATCTAACAGCACCAGTGCATAGAAAGACAACAGGCACCAATGTACACATTCAAAGACTGCGGTTGGCCACAGAGCAAAGCTGCCTCCGTGCGGCTCAGGTCAGAGAGGAGAACTAACACCAAGGCAGGTCCATGAGACCACCATCTCAGGCTCTGATTTGGTCTAACTGGACTCGCACATGAGGCCTGTGAACGGCTCGTCTCCACAGGGCCCGGGCTGAGCAGCAGATTGGGTGGGGACAGGCAAAGCGTTCTGGAAGCCCTTCCTGCAGCAGAACGTTCTGGAAGCCCTCTCTCAGGCAGAGCAGTGGCCCCAGCACCCTTACCATCGCACTTTGTTGCAGGTCTGGGTGGCCCCGAGTGGGGAGCCGGCCACCATAGGCACCTGGATGGGACTGTGCTGCTTGTTGGTGACCAGGTCCAGCTTCTCCTCCAGCGACTTGCACGTGGCCTCGAGGGCCTGCAGCTTGGCTTCAATGCTGTCCAAGCGCAGGCAGATGGTCTGGTTGATGGAGTACAGGAAGGACTGTGACAGAGGGCGAGAAGAGACACGCTTTAGAGCAGGCCTCCTGCTCTTCAGGAGACAGTCCAAGGGCCACTCAGCAGGGACTTCTCATGGCTGTCACTCTCTCCATGCAGTCAAGCTAGACCATTGGCTTTAAAATCTCACGCTAACCGTGCCTCTGCTTGTATCTGTAGCTGTAATGCCTAACTCTGCTTTCATTCCCTAATAAACACTGAGGTGACCTTGAGTATGCTGTTATGTCACGTAGCCAAGTGACACACAAACTACTCTGCTGTCCCCAACCCCTGACCTAGAGGCAGCCCAGAGCCCTGGCCTTGCCCAAGCATGTGCCGTACCACCCGCTTCAGACGGTGGTCCATCTAGGTTCCATGGACCTGGGATTCGGTCATGTGGGGCTTCCTGAATGCCCAGTCTGCCACCTAGTGGCTCACGCCAAGCAGCGTGTGTCACTCATCTCGGTGACTTAACTCAGAACACCCTGGAGAGCAGGAAGTGCATCACTCAAACCCTGGAGACAGGGCTGGTCCGCTGCCGCCCGAGGGAACACAGGGGAGTGGACGCGGACCCTAAGAGACCTTCCATGAAGCACAAAGCTCCCATGCCACAGCCTGGCTCCCTAAGGTGTCCCCTCACCCAGCGTAGCAGCAGGTGGCACTGGACTTGAAATGCAGCCTCTGAACATGATGAAGAGCCTGTCCCCTCCTCCCGTCCTGCCTGCCCCCAGCGTGGAAGAGCGCGGTGCCTGAAGCCACAGGAAGCAGATGAGGGCCATGGAGCCCACTGAGCTGCTCTGGGCCGCAGACACCAGGGAGGGGAGACAGGCCTGTGTCCACCTGCCTGGCAGGACCCCGCTCCCCCTTCTCCTCTGAGTGGATCTGCAGGGCACCAGGGTGACAGCATGGCCACATGACAGACCCGACAGGCGACGTCAAGGCCCAGGAGGAGGAGAGGTGCTGTCGTTTGGTGCGTTCGCAGAAGACCAAGCACATCTCCTGCAGAGGTTACGTGCACCCGTGTAGTTTCCTGGGAGAGGTGCAGAGGGCCACGGACGAGGTATCTAACATCTGAGGCTGCCCTCTTGCTACTGCGGAGGCACAGACAGTAAAGTGGCGTGGAGGATGGAGAACGGCCAGCCGGCAGGTCAGGGCTAAACTGTGGTCAGGGGCTGGCAGCCGGTCATCTTCACCAACAAGAGAGGCACTTTTCCATGGAACGGCCTGCTGGAAGCCGAGGAGCCGTGACTACGGAGTGAATTCCCAGGACAGGACTGCCATTAACCCAGCAGGCATTCTCACCAGGAGGTGAGTGCTTGGCTCCTGAGCCCACAAGCTACAACAAAACCATGCCTCTTCCGTCCTGCGTTAGAACTGAAGCTGGCTGGGGTCTGGGTGACAGTTACTGCCACAGACAGAGAAAACCACTTACCAAGCAAAGGAATGACACAGAGAAGCGAGCAGTGGGGAATGGTATTTATAAGTAAGTCTTGCATACAACTGATGGTAGCCATCAACCATTCAACTCTATTCATTAAAGAGCTCTGGCATTTTGGTTAGTAATGTTTCCAAATAGCGCACATGGCTCCATGTTTGGCAGCATTGAAATGCAGCCCAATGGGACCAGGGACAAGGCTTGGACACTTGTATTTATTTACTCTGTGTATCTCTGCATTGTTTAAACTGTTTACCACAAATGCATCTTCTGTGATAAAATTACAGACGTATTTTATTTTAAAATATAGTACAGAGTCGTGGTGAGTTGGAATTGCCTCTACACCAACTACCAACAAGTAGGGCAGCCGCCTTCCCTCTGAGCAGTTGGCAGCCGCCCCGTCTTCAAGTGTCGTGCTAAGGCCCTGCTTCTCGGGGTTGATGAAATGAACAGGCTGCTCCTAACTGAACACCCTGTATGAACACAGGACTCCCAGGGCGGTTCACAGGGGCAATGCACTCGCCCGCTAAGACAAAGCCTGGCTGCTTGGGCCCACCCAAGGGTGTGCAAGCGTGCGGATGGGGTACTTTCACTCTCATCTGCGCAGCTTTCTCAGTCTCATCCTTGCTGATCGTGCCCTCTGATCCCAGGACCACACGAGTAAACTCAAGGGTCCAAAAAGAACTGACTGGCCCAACTGTGATTTCCAAAATCCCTGTCTGTTGTTGTTGTTATTACGTGCCGTCGACTCGGACCCGACTCATAACGACCCCTCCTTGGGTTTCTGAGGCAGTTATCACTACGGAAGTAGATTGCCCCATCTTCCTTCCAAGGAGTGGCTGGTGGGTTTGAACCACCAGCCTTCTGGTTAGCAGTCAAGTGCCTTAGGTACTACGCTACCAGAGCACATTGAAATACCAGTACTGAAGCACCTCCTCCCAGCGGAGACCACCCGGCACACAGCTCCCCATGCCCGTCTGCTCATAGCAGTGGCCCTGCAGAGCGCCAAGGGGACACTGAGAATGTCGGGCTCTGCAACGTTTGTCCCCAGGTGTCTCAAGGGAGCACGTGGCTTCAGGCAGTCCCCGCTAACACCCTAGCAGACCTTTACCTTTATGGAGGGGTCCTGGCAATTGATGTCTAGACGCTGGCGCTTCAAAGCAGGTTCGTCTTCATCTGTCACTACATGATTCTCCAAGACAACTGGAATTGGGGACAGAGATCGAGAGTTAGCCTTTCACCTGAGCGGGTCTGCAGAAGCGAGTCAGCGCTCAGACGGCAGACAGCACTGACGCCAGGGACGCGGGAGCATGTCAGCGCTCAGACGGCAGACAGTACTGACGCCAGGGACGCGGGAGCGTGTCAGCGCTCAGACGGCAGACAGTACTGACGCTGGGGACGCGGGAGCGTGTCAGCGCTCAGACAGCAGACAGTACCCACACCCAGAGGCTGCCTCTGTCAAGAGCATGTCAACTGTAAATGTTACCTTCTACAGTTTAAACTTAGAACTCTCAGTCAGGCAGAAAATAGGACCTCCCTCCTGCCCCCCCGGCCAACCCCAGTGACAGTAAGACACCAGACGCACGATCTCCTTCACAGGCCACTGAGTCACCCCAACGTCCAAGAGGCAGCTTCTGATCTGGTGCTCTATGGTCACCCGGTGTGAGTGGCCACTTGGGAAATATCATTGAGTCTGGGCCGCTGGGTAGCTCACTCCAAAAACAAGACCGTCCCCTGCGGGTGCCAATTTCTCCTACATCGATAAGCACAGCAGTCCCACCATGCCGAACTAAACAGAAACCCGTCCCTTCCCACAGTGCAGGGCCTGAAACGCCCTGCCCGTGGCCGTGGGGAAGGACAGCCCTCCCAGCGAGTGCCAGCGTAGGCTCCGGGCAGTGGACAGCGGCACGATGTCCCAGCTCTGCTGTCGGCTGCAGTGTGCACCCACTGCTTGCTCTAATTCCGCACTTAACACTTTTAGAACGTGACCAAGGCCCTTTATCATGTTCCTGTGAAATGATGAACACTCAGTGGGGACAAGAGGTCTGATCAAATGATACCTCATGTGTTCAGACAGGTACAGGCATGCATGCCAACACAGAAACCAGGAAACCTCAAAGCACACCCATGCTCACAGTCTGAAAGTAGTGCTGTCTCAGGGGTCGTGCGAGGCACTATTTCTTCTGCTGGCTTGATTGCCTTTTAAAGGCTGTACTGTAACTGTGCAAAGCTCATAGTTTAGAAACGAGGGGAAAGACTATGGAGGCACACAGCAGCGCCACTCGGTAGTGCATGCCAGCCAGCAGTGCCCGCTCCTCAGGGTCTGAGTTTGCAGGCCCTGGGTCTCTGCAGGTTTCTGGAGTGGTGTCCACAGTAGGCTTTGACTAAACTCCAGGACTGTCACTTCCACTTGTTAAAGACCAGAGATGGACCAAATGAAGATTACAAATGATGTCTCTGGATTTTGAACTGCCGTCCACACAGAAAGGATTCATTTGGGAAGTAAGCTATCAGAACTTTAATTGTTCTGAAATGCTTCAGATGTGTGGACCCGGGGCAGTTTCCTTCTGACATAGCCAGTGTGCTTTCCAAAGCCTTCTGCATTAGCTGACCAAACCATCACCAGCATTTCAAAAATGTGTATGCATCGGTAACCCTTAGAAAGAACTCCAAGACACAGTGAAATTCTGAATAAAGAACAGCATTCCAGAGACACTGTCTTCAGTGCATTTAATTACTAAATCATTTCCAGTGCTGTCCCACAATGACAGACCCAACAGAGCACACAAGATAGAGAGCGTGCCCTCTCAGGAGACTTTTGAAATTCTCTTTCCTTGTGAGGAAAATGGCAGCACTTCGATTCTAACGTTCTAAAATATCACCACACAACCTAACGGTCAGGCCTGGATGCACGAGCCAGCTGCTCCAAACTTCATAGAAATACCAAAGATGTAAAACTGCGCGGTGGAAAAAGAGAAAACTCAGACAAAGAAATCTTTTTATAAAGTAACAAGTAGACGGACTTTCAGAGACAAAGTTCCTGTGAGTTAGAGTTTTGTTTGTGAAGGGTTCCCTTAAAACCAATATTTAGTTGAAGTTTCAAAGTGGGTTTGTGCCTGGGACATCATGATGAAAAACTGGCAGCTCCAGCAAGTGTGTGGGGAGGACACTGTTTGCACACACAGTTGTTGGTAGGGTGAGTTAATAACGCATTTCTGGGAAAATCTGTCACTATCTTCTGAAAAAATTAGCTACCAGCAATTCTGCTTCTGGGAGCTCACCCCGCAAAAATATGTGACCAGATGTATGGGGAAAGATCTTTACTGCAAGGTTGCATGGCCTTGAAGAAGAACTGCAAACCGTGGAAACAGCCATCTGAAAGGAAAGCGCTCAGTAAACCAGGCCCATCTAGATCTGGGGGCGCTGGTCAGAGAGCGAAGTGGACGCGGTCTGAGCTGACAGCATCGGCTCCCTGATCTGCTACCAGACTGAGCTGTGGAAGGGGCAGCTGGTAAGGAGCGAAGCTGTAGGACACGTGTCCCATGGCCCCACAGCAGGCGCACGTGTGTGCAAACCTTAGAGGGGGCCAGGCTGCTGGGCTCCCGTTGGGGAAGGGACGGGTCACGGGGTGGAGGGCTGCAGGGCCATGCTGCCCACATGCTGAGAGTTGGGACTTCCCCGCAGCACCTGCCTCGTGTGTTCTTCCTCATGAAGGAGGAACATGTCAGAAACCCTTGTGATCCCTCAAAGAACAGAGAATGGCACGCCACCTAGTGCCAGGGCTCCGTACCCGGGTGATCAGGACTCAGGTCTTCGACAGCAATCTGAACCACGTCCGCCAGGTCCTGTTCTGACATCATCCGGAACGCGCAGCGGGAGGCTGGTCCCTGAGCAGGAGGCGGGCTCACAGCGTGACTGGGGCCTACAAGACAGAGGCTGAGAGAGGGGGCACAATGAGCAGGTGACGTGTGACAGTGGAAGGCCAACCACGTGCACCCAACAGGACACCACGGGGCCACGGGGCTCCTCTCCTGGTCGCTGACCCTTAGGCACCCGCTCTAAATGCAGCTCCCAGCCTCTTTCCTCACCCCTGCACTAGCCTCCCCTGACAGCCATCCACTCTCCCAACCCTTTCCTCCTGCTGCTTCCAAAGTTACCTCCTAAAGCCACCACCTCCAGCCCCATCTCCAGTGGCCCTGCTGCCTCCAGAGCCTGGGGTCACATGCCTGCTGCACATACCACCCTGCCAAGCCTGGCCCCCAGCCCTGCGGCTGCTGCCCCCCACGGTGGTGCACCCTCCCGGCACTGCGGCTCCACCCCAGCAGGCCTCCACCCTGCACCCTCTGACGGCCTACAGCAGACGGCAGCACCTTGATTCAGCCTTCCCTTTGCCTAGAGGATGGCGTACCGCGTGACCATGACCAGGGGAGCTGTGTGTCAGGTACCCGAGCCTGTGCCTGGCAGGGCAGGGCCGCCCTGGGCTGACGGCTCACCCCCAGCGCCGGGTCTGGGACAGAGGGGTCACTCCCCTCAAGCTCAGGAAATAAGACTCTGACCGTGTCTGGGACTGAAGGGTCACTCTCCTCAAGTTCAGGTAGGACTCTGACCGTGTCTGGGACAGAGGGGTCACTCCCCTAAAGTTCAGGTAAGATTCTGACCGTGTCTGGGACAGAGGGGTCACTCCCCTCAAGCTCAGGTAAGACTCTGACCGTGTCTGGGACAGAGGGGTCAGTCCCCTCAAGCTCAAGAAGACTCTGTATGGGCTCAGAGACCTTGGTTTCCAAAACACCAAGGCCCTGGCACTCAAAAATCAGCCTACGGACGCGCGCAGCTGCCCCACCAGACCACATGCTCCTTGAGGCAGGCCCCGGGCACTCAGCTCTTCTCTCGGCCAGCTCACTGTCCACAGCTCTCTCGGAGGAGAGGCCGAAGCCAGTGTCCAGGTCAACAGCGGGATGCTGGTCACCTTTCAGCTTCAGCAAGTCGGGTAGGACCTCCGTTGGCTGATCCAGGAGGGCCTGTCAGGCCCAAAGGTTAACGGTGGCCCTCATGGCACAGTGTTGAAAGCCAAAGCCACACAAACCACACCTCAGCTGTTTTCCCAATGAAGAAGCTACCGGGACACAAGGAAGGCAGACTGTACTCCTCCACCAGACAAAACCAACCAGCCGACCTTCCAATGGGCGGACTGAAAACTTCCTGGCCTACAGATCACCATGGCACTCTACTAAAAACCTGGGTACCCTTCCCGGAAAAAGCACAGAGAGAGAATCCCACACCAGGCCAGAGGCTTTGCAGACAGTGACGGGCCTGGATGCCCCGGCCCCTGCTCTCCGTCCTTGCTCAGTGTGAGAGCCCTGAAGTCCAGGTGGGCCACCGGACAAAGCCTGTGCCTCCCAGCCTCTCCTGCAGCACAGGCTGGCCACGTGACCAAGCGCCAGCCTAGGAGACACACACAGAAGTGGCGGGTGGCAGCTCCTGCAAACCCCGCTAAAAGGGGACAGGCTCCTCGCCCGGCCTGCTGTTCTTCAACTACTTCCTCACCTCCTACTGGATCCAGGCCCACCATGAGGGTGAGCAGATGGAGCCAGGACGGAAGGACAGAGGCCGGAAAGAAAGAGCCTGGGTCTATGGAGCCACCAACTCCCCTGATCAACTTATCTGAGACAGGAAGGGGAACCGTCGGTCACCTGGCCTTGAACAGCATGAGTCTGGAGACTGTCACCTATCACCAGACTGAAGCTGCCTGGTCTGCCCCACAGCCCACCGCTCACTGCTCCGTCCACGGCTGGTCTGCCCTGCAGCCCACCGCTCACTGCTTCGTCCACGGCTTCCAGTGGAAGTGCCTGCCTCTCACCAGCAGCAAGTGGAAACCATTTCTGTGTGCCCAGTGCAGGCTTCTTTCCTGGCTGCTAAAGGCTGTGAGGAACAGGTGCCAAGGTCACCATCAAGCCCTAACCTCTTCCCAATGAAGACCCCACACAGGAGCCGAGTGTTTACTCAGAAGCGTTCTGCTGCCAGGACAGAGGCCTTTAAGATTCTGCCCATAGTGAAGGTCTGCAGAGAAAAGCCCAGGGCAAGGAGCCCAAGGGAAGCAGACCAGAGTGACACACATGGTGGCCACTGTGGCGAATTCAATCTGCCATTTCTGGCAAGTCCTGGGGACAAAAACGGGAATGATCCACAACACAGCAAAAGCAGGAGGGGACAAAAATGGCAAATTGCAGACCCCCACCGTGCCTCCTCACAGTCACAGACACGTGCAGCTCTGTCCGTGTGCACGCCCAAGTGCGGAGAAGCAGGTCTGCAAAGACGCACACCGCCCCGGTGACCTGCTGGCGAAGGAGACCTGGCCGCCACGAGCTCACTTCACTTTCTCTCTCTTTCTCAACTGTGTGACCTTTCTAGAAGCGTGTGTTATTATTTACATATCACCATGAAATGGTTTTTCTAAAATGAAGCAGTAACTCTACAGAACCAGCCATTACACCAAATATTGATGGATGCCCCAGTGTCCTCTTCAAGCCTGGCTGAAGCCATCTCTCAGTCCCCTGCGCCCATACCACGGAGGGCACCCAAGTCCATGGCCACGACTCGCAGTGCACCAAGGGCAACCCTCCCCGCCGCCTGTGGCCACTGCTGGTCCCCTGGACCCTAAGCCTTGCCTTCTCCAGCCCAGTCCTTCCTGTCCTCAGGCTCAGCTCCATCTGTCCCTCTCCCAACTTAAGACCCCTCCACCCTCATCCTCCCCCAGGGTACCACTCTCCAAGAGGCCTCCTCCCATATACTGCACACCCTCCTCTGGCCCCACCCTCCTCCCATTCACTTCACACCCTCCTCTGGCCCCACCCTCCTCTGGCCCCACCTTCCTCCCATTCACTTCACACCCTCCTCTGGCCCCACCCTCCTCTGGCCCCATCTTCCTCCCATTCACTTCACACCCTCCTCTGGCCCCACCCTCCTCCCATTCACTTCACACCCTCCTCCAGGCCCCACCCTCCTCTGGCCCCACCCTCCTCTGGGCCACTCCCACTGAGCAGCATGCTGCTGCCTCCCCAGTGCACCCCAGGGCTCTGCCCCCTCAGAGCACTGCCGCCTCGTTTCCTCTCCTCACAGTCCTGCTTGAGCCCGCACCAGCATCTCACTCCAACCCCAGTACCACTGGTTCTCGTGGGCGCTGCACTGCCCCCTCTGACCAGGAATGCACTCAGCCTGCCTGGGCTCTTCTGAGCTCACCAGCCGCGCTGCAGACGATACCACCAACGGGCTGACTCTGCAGGCTGCCACACGGGTCCACGCAGCACAGTGCTCACCAGCCATCCCCGGGGCGGGCAGTCTGTCTCCACATGTCCAAACGGAACTCCTGACCTCCAGCCACCTGGCCACACTCTGTCCAGCTCAGTTTATGCAACACCCAACCCCAGGTGCTCAGGCCAAACCTCCCAGCCCTCCTGGGGCCTCTGTCTCTCATACCCAGTCCACAGGCAGGCTTGCCCACATGCAGCACCAGCCTCCTTTCCCCACCTCTAGCACCACCACCGGCCCAGGGCCAGGAGTCTGCATCTGGACTCAGCTATGCCCACCCATCGGCCCTCCCTGCTTCTGCCTTTGTCCTCGATTCTCCAGAGTGACGCCAATTAAACACACGTAGAGCCACATCCCTCCAGAGACTTCCTACCTCACCCAAATCAATCCTGGCAACGCCTCACAAGATGGTATGACGTGGGCAACCCGCACCCATGCCTCCCAAAGTGTACCCCCTGCCCTCTTCCATGTCCCCCACACTCCCTCCCCCTTGCTCTCTCTTGACTGGGCACCATGGCCTCACTGGGCCTGCACGTCACTGCACCTGTCCTCAGACATCCATGTGCCCCTCCCCACCTGCATGTCTCAGCTCACGTCACCTTCCCTGGTTCACCTGTGGCTGAGCAGCCCACTTAACCTGGAAACTCCCCACCAGCACCCACACCCCACTGTCCTGGTTCTGTGAGGCTCCTGTCACCTAACTTACTAAAAAAACCTACTGCCCTGGAGTCGATTCCGACCCACAGCGCCCCTAGAGGGCAGAGTGGAACTGCACCACAGGGTCTCCAAGGCTGTCAATCTTCCCAGAAGCAGACTGCCTCACCTCTCTCCTGTGGAGCAGCTGGTGGGTTTAAACCACTGACCTTTCGGTTAGCAGTCACACGCTTAACCACTGCGCCACCAGGGCTCCTTCCTAACTTTCTAATAGCTTAAACATTGGTCTTGCTCAGGATCTGTCTCCCTAACAGAAAAGAAGTCCCATGAGGACAGGGCTCTCCCTCTTTCTGCCCACAGCCCAGCAAGGGCCCGCTACACACGGCCCCCAGTGGACGGGTGCACGGTCTCCAGGGGAGAACAAGGATCCGCGTCCCACCAGCTGCTCACCAGCGCCAGCACCTCTGTCACGAAACCTTGCGGGAGGGCAAGGCTCTCTGGGTCTGTTCTCATTTCAGTAGGACTGAGCTGCAGTTAGGTTGCAGGTCTAGTTCCTCAGCTGGCAACGTGAGATGACCGTCAACAGCACGTCAGCTGTCAACAGCAGGAAGCGAAGCAGAGGCTCACCTCCTGTCAGCACTGGGTGCCAGCAGCTGCTCAGCAGCTGGGATACACAACCACAAGCGCACTTTCAATTCCACAACTTGTAAAAATTATCTGGGCGATCCATATGCTAAACCCACAAAGTCGCTAAAATGGAAATAAGAGGAACTACTGTACGGAGGGTGAAAGGGAGCTTCTGCAGTGAAGGTTAGAAAAATCAGAGCACTGGGTGTCCACCCTCTTTACGTGAACAGTAGCAGGAGGAACACCTCAGGCCTCCCAGTCTCCGTTCTGGCGT